CAGCAGAATCACTCCATGGCCTTGGGGTGGCAGGTAGGTTTCTAGATATTTCATGATGTTTCTAGCCTTCTAGATCTTCTAGCAGAGCAATCCCCATTCGATCTCGCTAGCTGTGCCAGGCCCGGATTGCTGGAGCTTTGGGTGGCCGTGTGGCGGAGCAGTTGGTCTTCGGCAGCTCCCAGGTGACCACTGGTGCTGGGGGAGATTTGCAGCAGGTGGAGCGCATGGCTCGGGCCATGGTCACCCAGTTTGGCATGTCCGATGCTCGGTTTTAAGCTCCCTTGGTGTGGAGACAAATTTTGACAACAGAGGGGGCCCTTGGAATTTCCCACGGGGTACCTCTTAACAACGAAAGTCATTTTTAAATAACGAAAGCACCATGTTAAGAGCGAAAGTGAATCTTGCAATTGCGAAAATTAATCACTTTCTGTTCAGTATGGGGCGAACACAAATGCCGAGGTTTTGAGGAACCAAGGGTTGTCTGGAGAGGAACGTTGGGTAGACCATGTGAGTTGCGTTTCTTTTTTTGGAACACAGCGCTACACGTCCTCACATTTTTCATCATCCGCAAAGGCTCGCGTAGCCACTTCGCGGAGAAACTACAATGTTTTGGTGCGACGGCCATTTGCGAAGGCACTTGTTATTCATTTGCTGAACCATCTACTTCATCAGCAGGTAGGGATTCACATGTCTGGAGGATTGTTCAGGAGTAGGTCGAACTGTCGAACCTAACTGATTTGATTGACCAAAGTGGTGCGCTGCTTAGACACCTCAAACTGACAGATCTGTTTTGCTGCCTTGTGGATCCCTCTTTTGTAGTTTGATGCCTTGGGGGCGATATATTTTTCAATCATCTTCTACAGGACATTCATGGAGTCAGTCCTTGCACACAAGCTTCCCAACGCACGACCAAAGTAAGAGAACCTAGAGAACAAGATTGCGACCATATATCATTGGCTGGTGCAGGCATGGGTGAGTGGCAGATTGAGAAGAGGCACTACCTCACTGGTGCGCAAGAAGGTCAAGTCGTCTATTGATGCTAGACTGTTTATGCCATCAAGCGTTTGGCTGACCAACATCAATGCCTTCAGCGCGCCCACGGGGAGGAAATTGTCAACTGGGACATTGAGTCCGCAGAACGACGGACGAAAGTGATGTGGAGTCCAAGACCTGGCGCAGAACCTTCAAACCTGAAGAAGTCAATGAACTTGTCTGACGGTTCTCTTCGCAAAAGCGCCGTGAGCCACCAACTCCGACTGATTCTGTAGACCTCTTGCTGTCCAATTAAAGCTGCTGCGAGACTGCAAAATGCAGCTCTCAAGACAAGACGGCGAACGAAAGCCTTGCAGGTTTCTGAGTCCAGCTCTGCGTCCTCAACCTCTTCATCTTCATCTGAATGTGGCACTGACTCCGAAGGTTCTGCTTGAAAAAGGTTGCGCGCTGGTCTTGTCTGCGCCCAACCTGCAACGTGCAAGAAAACGCGCTAGGCCGTGACTCGTAGGCAAATTCGCTGAGAGATTGGCGAAAGCTTCGCAGAGGTATGCGTACCTATAGTCAATAGTCGCTGTCCCCAAACCACGCAAAAACACGGCTCATGTGGCCCCTGAGAAGGCAGGCCCAAACTACCCTGATTTGGATGGCTTTAGAAGTTGTTTGCGAAGGATAAGCTTGCTTTAGGATCTGGTTGTGTGAAAGAGCTCGGGGATTGGGTAATTAGCTCAATGCCAGTCGCAGCATATCGCAGCAAGCGCTAAAATGATCGCAGGGTATCAGGGCAGGGGAGAGAGAGGCGCACCAATGTTCAGGAGGTGAATCAGAAGGCGGCTCCGCCGGCAAAGTCCTTCCGTCCACAAGCGCCGCCAGCGAAGGCAGCGCGGCGCCATGGCTACTCGCGAGGGCCAAGTATACCTTCGAGCCACTTCGCTCGCTTGGTCAGCAGCATCGTGCCTGACAGGCCTGATGGAGGACGCTGGCAGATAGCTGTTGATGGTTTGGATTGCCTGCGCTCTACGTCAGAAGGGTTCGTGGAGGAGATCTTTGCTGACAGCTTGGTCTAAGCAAGGCGATTTGTATAGTGCTGTCTGGAGAGCAGACATTCGGCTGGCGCTGCGCGCCAGGGCTGACTCAGCAGCGTGGGTGTGCAGGGCGCTCTTGTTGTATACAAAGCAAAGTCCTCTCTGGAGTCTCTGGAGTGGTTCTTTCTGGTTTTTGTAAGATCGAAAACAAGGGCTGACTGGCCTCTCCGTCCTTGGCCATTTCAAAAGATACTCCGTCCTTGGCTGTGTCTGGGAACTTCGCAGCCCACCCCTCCGAGGTCTGTCAGGACGCAACAAATGGCGAGCCACGCCAGCGTTAACTGGCAAAGGCGCGGATGGAGGCCTGCCTGATTTCTTGTCGGATAGAAGACAACAAGGGACAGGCCTGTGCATCTATTTCAAGAGATGTGCTTTACAGACCGTCCCAAGTTGCAGAGACCTTCCTAAATCAATTTTACGCACCCTAAAAACGGACCTCTCAAATCAAATTTTCACCCCCTAAAAAGCATGAGCGCCGGGGTCTTTGCCACTCTCATGATGCCAGGGATGTTGTGGAGAGGAACAAAGACCCTCCTAAATCAATTTTGTACCCTAGCAGGAATGTCGTGGGGACGAAAAGTTGCAAAGACACGCAGAGACCCTCTTAAACCAGTTTTTCGTACCCGACAAGCGCAACCAGCAAAGTCTTTCAAACTCTGTGACAAGTTTGGCGGGGCACCGCCCGCAAGGATCAGCTCTGCAAAAGTTGCCAAGACCTTCCTACATCAATTTTTCGCGCCCTGAGACGCACAGGCAGCGGGGTTTGGGGGACGCCCGAAAAGTTGCAAAGACGACGCTCGATGTGTTGTTTTATTGTAATCAGGAACACCTCGGAACTTCACGGACCACTCCGGCTCCCAGATAACGCGTTGGCTTTGCCAGGACGCAAAAGAAGGTCGTCGACAGCAGCGGAGGGCGACTCCAGCCGGCTCTTGGATGGAGGCCTGCCTGTTATTTTGTCGCGTAGAAAACAAGGGTTTCTGGAGATCCGGTCTGGGGACTCCACAGACAGGGCTGAGTTGCAAAGACCACTCTGAAATTTTGTTGCGCGCAAAACGAGGAGGGGCAGGTCTTTAGTATATCAGGAGATACTCGCGGGAACTTCGCAAACCCCCCGTCTCCCAGATAACGCGTTGGCTTGGTCAGGGTGCAAAAGAAGATGATCGACGGCAGCGAAAGGCAAAGCCAGCAGGCTCTCGGATGGAGGCCTGCCTGATTATTGTCGGACAAAAGCATTTGCAACTGTATGGTTCGCGATCCGGAAACTCTACAAACAGCCCCGAGCTGCAAAGACCCCGCTGGATGTGTTTTCTTGCATACAAAACAAAGAGGGCCAGGTCTTTGCAACTATTTCAGGAGACACCGCCCGGGAATTCGCAGACCACCCCGGTCTCCCAGATGACGAGTTGGCCACTTTTTCATCCAAAATGACATGTCAGCTCTGGCAGGACCCGAAACATGGTGAGCCAGCAAGAAAGAAGCGAAGACATTGAACAGTTCTGTTTGCAATTAGACGGTTTCTGTTTCGCAACTAAGAAACCACCAAGCTTCGTAGTCAAAGGGCGCCCCAATTCCCAAAACGTACTGTAAGTCTTCCGAACGTTTTCCTTTGCAAGTCACATCAACGAGTTTCAACTTGGTGCTGAAGTTCTTTTACTCCTGACTCATGATGAACGAGTTGGTTGACTTGAGGAGTGCTCTTGAGGCGCTGGGGGTTCCTTAACGACCCTAGTCTAGTTGATCATACTGATCTAAGGACGTGGGCTCCATTGCCATCGATGACGGGGGCTTTGGTGGGCCCAACTATTCGGAGGACTTGAACTCAAAGATTGACAGCGCCTCGCCAAACTCATTCGTAGAAACGTTCCATGATGGCAATATGCCGAAGTCTGCAACCGCTCTTTGTGTTTGGTGTTTTCCATTGTTTTCCTGCTTTGTGTTTTTTCACGGGAAGTTGGGGAGGAACTTGATCCCTTGATGTTCTTCGGGGCAGCAAGGCGCTATCAAGGACATCTCGGACGAGTGCTTCCAAACAGCGTGGAATCTGCTGGAGACACACCGAGATTGCTTGGACAGAGTGGCTGAGGAGCTTTGCGAAATGGAAACCATCACCGGCGACAGGCTCCGAGAGATCGTTGCCCAATACACTGAATTACCAGAGAAGATGGCTGCGGTTTGAGGCTTCAACTTTAGCGAAATGCGTTTGAATGAATTGCACTTTCATTGGTCATAAAACCACTGAATTCTTGTCGTTCCATTGCACGCGTTTAGAGACACAACTCTATTGTACAGGGTCAGTCTTGATGCGAGTTTTGTTCTCGCTCTTGTTTCTCAACCTCTCAGCTGGATTGACGTCGGTCACATCCTCAAGCTACTCCAATCTTCGTGCACAGTCAAAACCTGATTGAGGTCAAAGAACTTAGTTTACGTGTTTCATTTTTTTTTTCCTGTTGTACATTTTAAATACAAGGAAGGAATCCTTGCAACACTTCCAATCAGTTTTGACCCTTGCACCTCACACCTTGCTGAGTGGAGCCAGACCATGTACAAAGCGTGGCTCCTCCGGTCGATGGGAAAATGAAACACATGTTTGGAGCAACAGACGATCTTGAATCCTTTCACGTCGTATGCAAGATGTTCAATGTAAAATTCATTAAGGTTCACTGACAGGGTTTAAAAGACAATGACAACTCGACTAATTTAATCCCATCAGCCCAAAACAATTGGAAACAGAGGCTCCTCTCGAAGAAGGGCGAAGGGACCTTTTCAGAGGTCTTGAAGGCGGGAATTCTGGCCAAGACGGCAAGGACTCGCACATTGCACACGTTGACAAACTGTTGGAGTAGAACCGCTGAACCAGCATTTCATGTTTTGCCTTTCCTTTTCGCAGGCCCAAGCAATCAAGTCGGGAAAGCACGTTGCGATAAAGTGCATCTTGCCCTACCTGGGCTTTGGCGAAGTGATGCGGGGTGGCAGGAGATTAGTCTCCAGGTCTAAATAGCTTGATGGTGCGAGCATGTGCCGCGAGCCTTCAATTGATAGGAACCCTGAGAACGGACAACGCATGTAGACAGGATCATTCAATAGGTTGAGAGAAACATGTCTCATGCATTCAATCCTTCACGTTGGAGACATGCTTGCATCCCAGGCATGAAGAACCACTTTGACAGCATCGAACAGGTGAACAACCTCCGAGAAATCCAGGCACACTTCCTCCTGCTTCCCAAGGCTAAGACAACGACCAAGCTCCTTTCCAAAGCTCATGGTCGGAAGGTGCTATTGTGCTAATCATTACATATATATATATACAGTATATATATACACATCCCAAAGATTCAATTCGCTTAAAGCTTTGCATACCTGAAATTTCAAGAAACTCGCTCAGCGTCGCTCGTCCGCTTCAGAACCTTCAGGCCCTCCGCCGATTGGTGGGACATCCGAATATTATCAAGCTTCACGAGGTGCAAATTTCCGTTTTCACTATCAGTCTTCATGTGGAGTTATAAGAAGTTATGACAGTATGCAAAGGTCCAATAGCATGCAAAGCCTGTGCGGCCGCAACAAGCCAAACCGATTTGGGGCAGAGACCTACTCTAGCGAGGCCACATTGAGTCAGCTTAGTCGAAGTATGTCAAAGTCTCGAAGTATGTCGTAGTCAACATCTTGACTTTAAGTTGACTTCTCGCCACAATTTGATACATCCTGCCAGTCCTGGAGCCGTGCTGGCTCGATCACGTCTTCACGTTTTACTACATTCCTTGGACTGGGTCTTAAGCTAGGACTTTGATGTTTGCGACGTATGGCTTGGGAAACTTGGACTTGACGATGTTAGATTTTCATGTCCATACGCAGCGTGAGATTGGAACCTCAGAGCCTTGCAATCTGAGGCATTGTCCTATGACACAGCAATTGGTTTGGCTCTTTCATTTCTTGCCTCTTGGAGTTTCAAGGAAGGCATCGCTCTTGTTGTTCCGAGATGATGGCGATGATCACCGCGTTGATGATAGTTTGATAATACTGACTTATTTTATCATCGTTGACATTTCCTCTACAAAATGAGAGGTCCTAGGTCCACTACAAAACAATTTTTTTGTAGCAACCATACTCGGGATATTTTGTGCAACCAATATATTTTGTCTAAACGATCTAAACGCACCATCGCGAAGGAAGTTGAACATGCATAATTTGAAGGCCAAGTCTTTTTGTAGAGAGAATAAGGACGATTGGATGTGATTGGATTCCTCCATGTCAAAAAGCAGGCAAACATTTTGTAGAGCGCCATGCGCGGTCATAGAAACATTTTGTAGAGGGCCAATCGCTGCGTATCATTGTGTATCGCTGCGTATCGTCGTTTGATTCTAATCCACCTTGTCTATTCTTGTCCTTCACTACAAAATGGTTACTGAGCTGCGTATCATCGCTTGATTTTAACCGATCTTGTCCCTCACATTCCTTCACTACAAAATGGTTACTCGCCGTCTCATTGCGTGAGGGCCCATGATCCAAAAACATCTCTACAAAATGATTTTGAGTATCTGATCCCGTTGAGGTGTGGACCACGCGAAGCTGGAAATTTCATTTTGTAGTGGTCCACAATCATTTCAGATGTCAAGGTCAATTTTTGAATCCCTGACGTTTTGTAGTCAGGATCAGCCTCTACAAAAAGAGACTGACATAGTAAGATTTCATTTTGTAGTGACAAATCTGGAGGTCCACTGTTTTGTATCTACAAAATGCCGGGCCTAGCTACACATGAAATTTCTACGTTGATTTTATTTCATTTTATTTCTATGATGATGGTGACCACTAGCAAATATGAGTTCATTTGCCAGTTTGTTTCTCCGTGCATCGAATGGGACGCCTGATTTTTTGGCGGCTTGTTCTGAGCAACTTTCTCTTTTGCGTGCCAAGAATAGTGAAACAAGCACCAGACATGTTTGACTTTGGTGAAGGTCTCTTTCATAATGGCAAGTTGTCGCTCGCTTGAGGTAGTCACATTCGCTTTGCAGAACTTTATTGACAGGCGCAGCACGGTGACGTCACTTTGATGAAGCGTGCAACCTGATTGCTCTTTTTCAGGGTGAATCATGCTTGCATTTTACAAAGGACAAAAGCGGGACCCCAGTATATTTTGGAAGCTTCTGTGGAAAGAATTGGAAATGTCACAATCCAATCCGGTGCATGTGGAGTGGGAGTCCTAGGTATGTGGAGCCATGATTGCTTGAATGTAAGGATTGGTCTCGTGGCAACTATTTGGTACTGGACAAGCGCATTGTGGGCTGCAGTGACGAAGGACTTCATGCCATGTATCTCTATCAGCATCACCTAATGCTCCTAGTCCTAGTCATCCAATCGTCTCGATAGGGTTCAACTGGAAGAACTCCCTCCAAACTCCCTCCAGTGTCCAGTCCAAAGGTACAATGGCAGTATTGGTTCCCGCTTATTCCGTCCTGTTTGTTCGAAACAGCCCCTAGTAGCGTTCTTGTTCCTAGTAGGGATGCCTTTTGCTCCTAGTAGCGTCCTTGCTCCTAGTAGTAAGGCCAGGAGCCCCCAGTAGCGTCCTTGTTCCTAGTAGAGTATTGAAACGATTCTTTCGGACTCGTTCATCAGTTTGCAGATCGCGCGCAGTAAGACATATGTACTTGTACCAGAATACATGGAATGTTTAACAACTTTGGAGGAGATCCTGAATGACTTGCAGCAGGTGGTCGTGTATCCTTCAACCAGTGTTTGGTTGACATTCCTTCCCCAGGCACAGCGCAATCGCATATCGGCTTGATCAAGATTTGTTAGATAGTTTAAGGGATATGCAGCGGCCTCATGACAGTCCTGGATCGCGAGAGGTTGCTCGCTCTTGTGATACAACAGGATATAAGAATGTACCTCAACACATGCACATTCTGTACATAAAACTTGTGGAGGCTAAGCAGCTGGATTTTGAGCACCCTGGTTGCTGCACTTGCCAGGCTTTGAGCTATGTATTGGTGCAAGCGCTTGCGATTCTGTTCGGGCTAGATCTTTGCACAGGAGAGAATGTGACATTGCACGGATGTTGATGAAGCTTGCTTACAGTCGAGAGGAACAGGCACTCAAGGTATGTTGATCATTGTGTCGCGGCAGATTGAATTGCGTTCAGAGTACTCCTGGGAGAATCCAGCTGGAAGACTCGTGTGGAATTCTACACCTTTTAGAACTTAAGAATGGGGAAAGAACTTACTTACTGTATATAAGAGGTGTAAAAATGGAGCAGGCTCTTGAGTTTACAAAACTGTTTGAGACTTTGAACATTGACGAGCAGCCTCCCAGCTGGAGGAACTTGCTTCAGAGAAAAGCGCCGCACTTCGGCAGCACCCATACGTTTGTGATTGAGAAATGACTTCAACGCTTATTCTTGCAACACATGAGTGGTCCTGATATCCAACTGAATCCAACTTTCTGGCAGCTTGAGGCAACTTGGGAATGTGGCAAATGGCAGGCGCTGCGTGGCTTTGCCTAGAGAAACATCTGCCTTGGTTGCACTCCCTTAGTTAAGTAGGTGCCTACTGTAACTCAATTAAGTAGGGAGGCAGGGCCTCGGGCTAAAAAGGTTTTACCTTGGTCCCTTCAAGATCTTCAATGCCATGCGCAGCATTATATTGCTGTATAAGTAGGCAGGAGTACCATCTAGGTGGAAGTTTTGTCGAGGTATTTCTTCGGGCAGCTCTTCACTGTCGCAGCACTGGCATTGGATGCGCCCAGAAACTTGCCGATGTTCATACCAAATGTTTAACTCACGCAGAGTCGCTTCATAGAGTTCTGGTCAGCATGTCAAAGGAGTATGGGTCAAGTCACTCATCCAATCCCCCCCGACCTTGCCTGCTCCAATTGTCTTGTCCAGCGTGTGACACGGTACGCCAGGGGACAAGGTAGTTGTTCATGATCTCGTTGAATGATTAACCTGCTGTAAGGAAGGAGTTATCAGGCAAAGGCATTGTAGTGGGCAGCTTTGGTGAAGGCACCATGTTGCTTAGCATAATGGAATGAATCTTGGACAGGAAAAACAGGAAGGACGACCAACTTGACAGAATAAACCATGGTAAACCTTGAACCTCGGGTTGATTGATTGGGGTCAGGCTCATTGCAAAACACCAGTAGCAGGTCATTACTTCTATTTCTAAGGTACTTGGAGTCGGAGTTCTCATTTCCGTAGCCATAGATCCTTACACTGGTGCTGTTTATTGGGAAAGATCTTATTCCTCAGGCCTGGTCTTCGTAGTGAAGGCCATTGAACCTTTGAGCACCGCTCTACTGGCAATCCCGGTGCTCCATCAGACATTCAATGTAAGGTGCGGCGGAGGGTGATGACGTGTGCCAATGATTTTTACCTTTTTAACTTTGCAAAAGACCTTTTGGATCAAGCTACTAGTAACAAAGGGCATCGCTACTAGGATCAAGGGCATCGCTACTAGTAGCTCCT